AACACTCCCACAACATAGGTCCAGAAGGGTATTTGAAAGATCATCTAATCAGTTTCCTGATCCTAACTCCCCCTTTTTAAAAATCAGTCATGAGACACTGACTGTCCAACTGATTAAAATATAAAGTTCAGTATTCATTTAATAAAATCATTGCCAAGGGAACGTGGCAGAATCTGAGATTAAAAACTCAAAGTATCTTGAGTTATGCATGTAAGAGACACCATGATGAATGACCATTAAAGGCCATTTATATGTTGTAAAAAATTGAATTATTGAAAGCCTTTTACACAGGCTACTTTGAAATTATTCAGTAACATTCTGTGTAATTTGTTTTTCAGTTAATACCTCACACACTAATCATAGCATTTATCATAAGTATTAAACTATTCAATGTATCACTTGGTAATAAACAGTACATCTTTATTCAAAAATAACAAGATTTTTCTAATATTCTTAAATCTTTTCCTTAAAAGAACATCTGTAAAAATTCATTATTCTTAGTGTTTAAGGGAAACTATCTGAAAGGTAGAAATATATGAGAAAGACTGATTTTTGTTTGACCAGGCATACTCACATGTTACACATCAGAATTAGGATTCATAATTATTTCAGTAGGTTACAAATGAATGGTGTAGACTGAACAGTGACAGATGTAAAGTTCTACATACTGAAATTCAAAAAATCAATTGTATAAATACAGGACGGGGAAAAAATCTGCCTTAACAAGTTTGTGTGAAAAAGACGTTGGAAGTTTTAATTGGCTATAATCTGGATAGGAATGAGAAGTTAGATGTAATAGTTTGTAATATAAGTCTTTTCTAATATATGTATGTGCATATATAAACATGTATAACACAGGGAATATTTAGTATATATTTGTGTCTGGAAGGGAACAAGGCAGGGAGAGAGAAAAAAAAGTTCTATGAAAATATAAAGCATATCATTTGAAACAGAATCATTGTGCTGAGCCTTGGTCAGTCTAAATTTCTAGTAATTTGGCCAGTCCTGCCTTTTAAGAACAGAATAGTAACAAATCTGGAAAACGTCATCTGGAGAGCATCTGGGGGTTTTTAAAAGTGAAGTCTGAGAAATAAGAGACATGAGGAAGGAAAAATCACACGTGCCCTTGTATGTCTGAAGGACTATCATCTGTTACAGGGGATAAAATTATTCTACATTCATCCAGAAGGTAAAACTTGGACCAGTGGAAATTGCAGGAAGATAAATTTCATATCCATATTTGTAACAGCTGTATGTATGTTACTTAGCTGCCCCGTAAAAAAGAGGAGGTGGGTTTGTTGTTCTTTAATTGTATCTAATTCTACATGACCCCATGGATCATATTGTTCATGGGGTTTTCCCAGCAGAGATACTAGAGTGTTTTGCTGTTTCCCTCTCCAGGTCATTTTATAGATTAGGAACAGAGACAAACAGGGTTAAGTGACTTGCCCAGAGTCACCCAGAAGATCAGTCTTCCTGACTTCAGGCCCAGCACTCTATCCATTGTGCCACCTAGCTGCCCTCAACCTTATTTTATTAGTGAAGAAACTGAGACCAAGATATATTAACTTACTTGCCAAAGTTACACATATTTCCAACTTACTCATAACTACAAATACGTAGTACCTGAATCTTCCCAAACTAAGATGTCATAGTTAAGGGTGCCAACTTTCCTAATGTCAATATTTTGTACTACACTTCACAGCTACTACAACTGTATGCAAAACTGCCACTTTAGCATTACAGTGGTACATGAAAGAAACCATTTCAGTATATAGCAGGTTTTAAAGATATGTATATATGTGTGTATATATATATTTATATATACATATAGATTATAACAACTTATTTTCTTAGAACATAGTCTCTTTAATATAGGAATTATCTCCAGTCCCAGCAGAACATTTAATACTTGGTCTACATAAAGGTTAAAATGTATATCTAATACTTGCTCAAGTGGTTAGAAATTAATATTCTCTTAAGCCATTGAAATGTTAAACTCCTCTAACCTTCTAAAAGACTTCACATATTTCTTAGCTTCAAGCAAGTGAGATATTGAAGTCTTATAAAATATTAATTTTATCTTAAATTTCATTGTAACTGTGGGCAGATACACCCACTGAGAAGTTTTCTATTTTTCACTTGTTAGTGAGTACTTAAGTTTCAAAAGGCAGGCTTTAATACACTATAGTGGAAATATATCTCCATTTGAATAAAGAATATAAATGGTAGCTTATTACAACAATGTAATACATAATCCTCTGATATGGAAGAAAAAAGAAAGCTTTAATATTCCATTGGGAATGCTTTCTTACCCTCACAGCCACTCACACCCATTCCTAGGCACCCTTTATCTCCTTTACCACTCATCCATTCTTGCCTACCTTTTCTCTTTAAAACATGATGATAATTTTTTTAATATTTTATTTTTTCCCAATGATATATAAAAACAATTAACATTCAGTTTTTTGTTTTGTTTTGTTTTTTTAATCTAAGTTCCAAATTTTCTCCCTCCCTCTCTTTACCCTTCTCTAAGACATCAAGCAATTTCATATAGGTTAAACATGTACAATCATGCAAAACATATTTCCTTAGTGATCTTGTTGTAAAAGAAAACACAGACCAACACACACACATACACACACACACATGTGTGCGAGTGAAAAACAGTATGCTTCAATTTGCATTCAGACTCCAGCAGTTCTTTCTCTGGAAGTTGATAGCATTTTTCATTGTGAGTCCTTTGGAATTGTCTACCAAATTCTTCTTTTCTCCTTGCCTAAATATTTCCCTTTTCTCCTTTATTCATTCTATCCACTTAGATTTTGCCATCTGACCTATATTCTCTTTGCCTGACATCTGTCAACTATTTTCTTTTTGAGTCTTCCCTAATTTAGGTAGAGATTCTCCTATTTGATGGTGACTTAGCACAACATTAAACTAAACGTCCTTGGTAAGACAGGGGTATCATAGTTTGCCATAATGGGATGCAATATTTTCTAAGACATCAGGTGCAGTGGCACCAGCATAGAAGAATAGAAACACATAAATTATGGTATGGAACTTAAAATTACTGGATTGCTGTTGAAGTGAAGTGCCAGTAGTGCTAACAACTAAGAATATGATTCCCCGAGCTTTAAGAAGAAAAGAACTTAACAGATAGGTCCCAGTTAGAAGAAGAGAAGGAACAAAGTAAAGGAGTCAATGAGGCTTCTGAGCACTATGAGCCAGTCCCTGTAGGTGAAGATCTCAGCCAAGACCTCTCAAATCAAATTTTTGGCTAGGAGACTAGTACAACACCTGGCAAGATGGAAAAGGCATCACGGTTGAAGAGTTAGTTTTCCAACTACCTCTAGAATGCTAAAAAGATAGTTATATAATCAATCATATCTTTATTGTGCTTAGATAAGAAAATCAACAAATGGGTTGTTTCATTATTTTAATGGATCTGTTATCTTTATTCAATGGTAACCACAAAAGGCCTTTTCATACAACATGATTTCTTTTCCATATTTTTCTACAGCACCTCAACAAAGGGTCATCCAACAAATTTGAGGTCTTAACTATAGGTACTTTGAAACAAAGAAAAATATTAAAATAATATATAGAATTTATAAGAGTAGGTTAATCATAAATGTTTGCTGAAGTATACTAAATAATTAAACATTTTCATTTCAAATGCAATAAAATACATAAATAGGTAACCTGTTAAAAACACTACTAGTTTTGGGTTTTCATTCTACATATTCACTTCAGATTGTAATTCCACATCTATAATGATATCAAAAGGCAAACCTACTACATAGAAAGTCCTCATTTTTCAAACTTGGTTTGTAAATTTTTCTCAGACTAACGTATCCTAAAACAATTCTAGATTGAATTTGTAGGTCATATGTTTGCAAGTGCCACAAATTTTAGACTGATGTAGCAATAACTTATTTTCATAATGCCTCAGTATAGATGGATCATTAGATATGTGTCGTATAGCCAGTAAAAGAAAATCAGTTTATTTTTTATCGTATTTGTTCCCCTCCAAAAAACATGGTACTTAATTTCCATCCTATTTTAGTAGGTGTTCAAGAAGTCAAGAAATTTAAACCTTTTAATATTCATGTGGTTTTTTGTCTGATTCTTTGTTTTCTGGCCAAGAGACTTGTTCTGTACTTAGTAGTGACCTGCTTTCATAGCAAAAATATGTATTACATAATAAAACTATTTAAACTGTAATTTATATCAAACTGGTACTGACCTCTTTTGCATGCCTTTTTTGTTCATCAATGAAGTACTAATTTTAATATCATTGAAGAAAAATCCCTAAAGTCAGTAGGGTTATAAATTTGTTAAATCTAGTATTGGCTGTTCCTGAAAACTTCATAGTCTTTCTTAGATGTTCTTTCTCTGGGCATAATTCATAAGAACCAAGTATTTCGTACATTAAAGTAAAGCATAATCTATTATATGGATGCTTTTAATCTGTTTGTATAGGCCAGATTCTGGGCTATACTTAACAACGGAGAGCTTTACAGTCAAGGAATTAGTATTTCATCAGAGTCTAAGACCAAATACTGTAATTCAGTAAATTCTCAAACTGCAGTTATTAAACTACACATAGAACCTTTACAAATGTGATTTTACCTCATGAGCAATTAAGTAGTTTAAAAAAAAAAGACCTTTTTATTTCATGGATGTAAGATTGTTCTGTTCATTCTGAACAAATTCTTAAATTTCTGCTATCATATACGTTTGGATGTAACACCGAGGAGAGAGAAATCAATCCAGTACAGGTGTGGGTAAAAGATTCTTGATATAATAGCATTCTCTTAAAACTATTTTAGTAATTTAGAACCATCTATTAATATGAAATTCCCACATTATAGGTGACAAATTCTCTTTAAAGAAGGGGATCTTTATGGGCCAACTTTGCAGGGCTAATGCCGATGATGATAAAAAGCATTTTAGAGTCTATTTTAAACCTTTACCTTTGCTATTCTGTGTTCCAGTATTGGTCCTTATGATTGTCACAATGAGAAGACGGAAAAAAGAGCCACTGATTTTTGATGAGGAGAGGGATATTAGAGAAAATATTGTCCGGTATGATGATGAAGGTGGTGGTGAAGAGGACACAGAGGCTTTTGACATGGCTGCTTTGAGAAACCTGAATGTCATCCGAGATACCAAGACCCGAAGGGATGTGACACCAGAAATTCAGTTCTTAAGTCGACCAACTTTTAAAAGTATCCCTGATAACGTCATTTTTAGGGAATTTATTTGGGAAAGATTAAAAGAAGCTGATATAGATCCCTGTGCTCCTCCTTATGATTCTCTACAGACATATGCCTTTGAGGGAAATGGTTCAGTAGCTGAGTCACTCAGTTCTTTAGATTCCATCAGCTCAAACTCTGATCAGAATTATGATTATCTCAGTGACTGGGGGCCTCGTTTTAAAAGACTTGCAGATATGTATGGAACTGGCCAGGATGGCTTATACTCATAGCCTTGGGACCTTAATAGGAAATGCACTGAAGAGAAACAAACAAACAAAAAAAGAACAAACACAAACTCTACTTATTGGATTTAAAAAGGGTGTAAATATTTCTCCATTTTTAACTGTTTAGGTTTTGCCTTGGTGAAGCATATCTTCATTAGACTTGTCCTAGGGACTGCACTGACCACAGATGCTGAGCATTTGAAGGCATTTTGATAAAAGGAAATGCTCAGACATATTCAAATAGATAGCAATCCTTATATACCTGCAAAGGCAACTAACCCTTTCTGAATCAGTAGTGCACTGTGATCTTGATGAGCCAGTGATAACCCTGTAAATGCCTTCCCAGTACCAGTATGTCTAGATGTAAAGTTTATCTCTCAGATATAATGAATGAAAGAAAAAATGTGGTGCCAGTCTAAGGAGTCTTAGTTCTTTATACCAAATCTTTTAGAGTGATACCTGCAGCTTACTGGCTCATGACATCTAGCAGAACTTTATTGCTTTTGACTAAAGAATCCAAAATTACCAGAAATATTTGCAAATGCCTAGCTAGGTACTCATTGCCTCAGTCTATTCATCCCACCAAAACACAAGTACTCTAGCATATGCCATCATAATTTATACTTTTAAAAAAGAAAGAAAAAAATTATAGTATCTTGCAAGAAAATAATTTATGAAATGGTCAAAATAAGAACTGGGGGAAAAATTCTCAAAATTAAAAACCATCCTTAGATGCCTGTGTAGGTATGGGGGGGAAATTGCTGTCTATTCAGTTTTTATTATCTCTTCTGATTTGTACAGGAGAATTTATCTTTTTTTTTTTTGACACATGGTGTTATATTTATTTTGGAGCCCAATCTCCACAAAATTCAGGTCCATTTTACTGCCTCACAGTATTAAACTCATCAGAACATGCTGATTTTTCTCCAGTCTCAGCTACATGAAGGAAATGAAGCATAGAAATGAAAAAATTACAGTAAAGCAACTGAGCCCCACAGTCGTTCATGTCTCAGAAAGGAACACAGCTACAAGGGCATACAATTGTTCTTCTGAGCCATTAGAATGTCTGAAACATTTGAATAAAGTATTTGTACCTTGTATTTTGGAAAGAAGACTACAGAGGGAATGGGGAGTATCTTTGAATGGAAGATTGAATTTTCGAGGTCATAAGTTCCCTATGCTCCTAAGACTTACAAGAACTTGTTTTCCCCTAGCGCTGCCCTGCTTTGCTGTTGAAGCACTTCAGTTAAAGACTGCTTGAAATTTCTTTCCTATGTTAAAAAACATAATGCTATTAACTTCAGAATCCGTCTTTAAATCGTGATGCAAATAAGTAAGTTCCCCAAGGAATTAACTTCACAATGCATAATTTCTGTACTGGTCTGGGAGTGCCAAAATGAGGAGGATGATTGCAGATGGTCAAAATATTGTATAATTTTGAAATAGGATTTCTTAGAATAAGACAACTTTTTTATGATTCCAATAATATTTATACCTATGAGCTTTCATGGTTTAATACTAGTTTATGATGCATTTAATCAATTAAGGAAATTTTTTTTCTCCCTCTATTTTAAAAAGATTGGTAGTTGAGTTACTAATAAATCTGGAGATAGTGGGCACTGTGTAAAAAATGGTGTTCTAAAAGTTTCTTTCTATATGAAATATAAATATGTTGAGTACATATGAGAAAAAAGGTGTCTATGAAAAGAGTCTGTAATTTTTGCAGCCCACCATTATAAATGAAGTATGTGAAAGTGGCCTTCAGCTTCATCAAAATAAACAATTCAACAAATTTAATTATCTGAAAATTTCTTTAATTTTGGTAAAATTTTACAAGACAGTCATTTAATGTCATTAGATCTGCCACAACTTGTATCAAAGAATACATATACATGTGTTGTGTATATATAGATATACACACACATATGTATGTATGTGTGTATATACATATATGATTTTATAATGGAACTGAAAAATAATGCTCATAATTTTAGCCAAACATGTAAGACTTTCAATAAAAAAGGAGGGGGGGAATGAAGCTTACCCTTCAGTAAAAGCAAAATGTGCTGCAGGAATTATATAGGTGTTAAATCATCCAGGTGCTGAGAAAACAGTTTTATAATAATCCTCTTGTTTGCAAGAAGATAAAATATTTTAGTACATTTGGATTATGATGTCAAAACTGCTGATTGTTGCACATGTCACTAAATGGAGTTCTGAGTATATTAGAAAAGGAATATCATTCATCTTGCTTTTCCTCCATCTAATAAGAGTGTAATTTTTCTCATGCTTTCCCCCTGTCAAATTTTGATCATAAAAGAATTGGAGAAATCACCTCTAATTTATTTAGTGCTCTGAAATTCCTCCATGAAACCATTTCATACTTGATGACATGAACAGAGTCCTGAAACTTCTACTGTTTTGAATACATCTGTTGAATATAGGGCCACTTTTTTTGGGAGGGAGGGATTCTTAAATTGAATGATAAGTATCACAGGCAAATTATCTTTGTAAAACAAAAAGTTCGTTGTAATTGTTTTAGGGTTTGTTTTCCCTTTTTCTTGTAGACACTATTATGATGAGTGATAAATACGATCACTTAAGTAGAGAAAGTCATTTTTTCCCTGAACCAAGAAGGGAGCAATTGGTTATGGAGAACTAAAGCCATAGTAACTAAATTACAATAGTGGAGAGGGTATGTGCATTAAAATGTCTGCCCTGGTATTTAAATTTCTGTTTATTCAGATATTATGGCAGTAAGTTCCAGAAACTTACTAATTCTCAATGAATAATACAAATAAGGCTGACATTTGCATAGTGCTTGAAGAATTGCAAAGTACTTTACCTATATTATCTTGTTTGAGAATATGAAAATACTAGGACTGACACGAAAAATTTCTGCTTCATCTTCAAAATGTGGAGGTAGCAAAGGCAACAGAGATTTTCTCCTAAATACTTTTCTCCATAACCTCAAAGTAGGGCCATCACTCCATTCTGAGAAATAGTAAAATAAAATGTTTAAATATAGATATTGGCTCAGGGAGGCAAGGTTTATCTAATAATATAGTTACATTAACACACATGTGTACATGTGTGTCATGTATGCGTGTGCATATGTACACACAGGTATATATGCATGTATGTATACCAATAGACGTCTTTCTCTGTCTCTATGTATAGATATATATTCTATGGGCATAGATAGATCTTACAGGCAGCATTGAATAGAGTTCACCTCAGTGCCCAGATGACTTGGGTTCAATTTCTGCCTCTGATTCATACTAGAGCTATATGACTATGGTGCCACAGGCACCTTTCTGCAGAACAGCTGCCAACCTGCGCGTGCACACACACACGCGCGCACACACACACACACACACACACACACACACCCCTCTATGTATATCTGCATATCTAGCTCTTTCTATCAAGATATCTACATGTAGATATCTAGATATTTCTAAATATAAAAATAGAAAATACTTAATAAATTTAAAATTATACTTGATATGTATGTATAGATATTTTTCTATATCTTTATATGTCCCCAAAGAGAAAGTTATGTGTCTGTCTTATTTGACTTGCTCCTGTTAGTTTCATGGGATTTGACCCTGACATATAGCAGGCTCTGAAAAATGTTTTTTGATCTACTGGTATGTATTAAATTCTTTCTCAACTACTATGACTAGGTTAAGTGTAATCACAGAAAGTACAATTAAAGTCAAGAACACCAAAAGCAAACTCCCAAGAAAAGGAACAATCAGGTTTTTGGGTCAGCTTGACAGGCTCATTTCTGGCCCAGAGGCTCTCTGATAAACAAAAGCAATGAACAATGTGAAATAAAGAACCTGAGAGCTGAGTGTCCAAAAGAAAGGGGGAGTGCTGTTTGGAGGGTTTAACTTGAAACATAGGTCAGTGACAGAAGAGAATGCCTTGGATCTTTAACTACCTACATACACCTGTTAGGGTGTCTGCTCTTCTGCCTGATTATGGATTGAAAGTTCACCCTGTGTACCCAGCCACCTTTCTTCCCTTGAGAGTCTTGACATTTGGTTTTGTAGGAACATTTTGAAATGTTCACTTTATAGAATATCTTGCTATTTTATAGTTAAATGCAAAAAGTTTAAATAAATATTCTCATGAGCACTGTATATATTTTATAAAATGTGCAAATAGTGTATTTGTTGAGTTTCATATGCAGAAACAACTGCATTTGAAAATTAGCAGTTGGGATGTGCCTAAGTTTGGAGAAAATCTTAAATGAGATGTAAATACAGGTTTGAACAAATTACTGAGTTAAAAATAATTAAACACTTCCAACATTTTTTTTTAAAGACAAGGATATTGTTTTTATTAATACTGGCTTTAAATACACCTGTTAATAAAAAGTTTTTATTGATTATTTTTAACTTAAATAAGGTAAACTTTTCTTTTATTAATTTCACTGAATTTTAGCCATGGTTCAATATTTAAACTATACTTGGAAAGTTCAGCACGCTAGTTAGCAGAGAGGCCAGTCTACTAGAATCGAAGGCTGTCAGAGCTAAAAATAGATTTGCAACTTTTGCATATGGGCTGTAAAATCTATTCTATTTAATATGTCATATACCAATGTGGAAATTTTTAGGGAAGGAAGTGATTATTTTTTTATCAAAATTGACTGGCTGTGTGGATAGCAATTAATGACTCCAAAATTGTGAGAGGGAGAGAATTGAGAATATATTTAATCAGGAAAAAGTGCTGGGGGGGGGCCTATAATTTAGTATACAGTAGATATTTTAAGACTATATCACCTTAGGATAAAAAGAAAAGTGAAATATTGAGGTAAATGCGAAAAAAAATACAATAGCCTCACCCCAGTGCCTCAATTCCCAATATGTTTTTATTGTAGTAACAAATGCCTAGATTCTCTCTCCTGGCTTATAGTTCCAGGATGATACTGAAGAGTACATGAAAATATTCATGGGATCCTGAGATGTCTGTGGCAACTGGCTATGTGACTATCTACCAGTCTGGCTAGAGGATCTAATGCACCACTGAAGAAAGCAAAATTTTAGCTATGAATTTCCAAAACTGCATTTATTTCAGTTATCTTGATATTTTTGATATTTTAAGCAAAAGCTTTTGAAGAACAAAGGAGTGCTAAATAGTATCCGGACAGCTGCCTTAAACCTTCACTTTTTGTAATTCATGAAGCTTTGTCTTCATGAGTATTACATGAAAAATGAAAACAAAGCATCTTGGAAGGTCACATTTTACCAACACATGTGGTGTAGTGAAATGACCACTGGCTTTGGAGTAAGACAATGTGTCTTCAAATGCTGGATCTATCACTTGCTACCAGTAGGACCTACAAATGTTACACTCATTGGCCTCAGGTTTTTTTTTTCCCCTTTTCTTTTCTTACTCTGTAAAGTGAAGGGGTTGATCTAGATGATTAAAGTCCTTTCCAGCTCTAAATCCTATGATCTTAATTATTTCTGACTTGAGCCAAGAATCTGTTAAGGAAGGCACATGTAATTTGCATTTCAGATATAGAAAGAATATATACACACACAGAATTTTAAAATGGATAGCAAAAAAAAACTAAGCCAGTCCAATGCTTGAATTAAATAAGTACATGCCCTTTTGAAATATTATGAAAATGTATACGGTTGATAAGTCCTAAGAGTTCAAAGTTAACCATACAATTTTCTGTTACAACATTAGTATTACCAAATAAACATTTAATTTCCAAATCAATTTTAAAGACATTTTCAAACATCAATTCTTGAACTACATATACTGCAATATCTGTATACCTAAAAAGGAGTATAAATATTTTCTCCAATTCAACTAGACTTCAAATTGAAGTTCAGATTATATATTTTCCCAAAATCTGTATACCTTGATCTATTGAATACATACAATTGATGGAATAGTATAAATCCCCCGAAGGAATTCCTGCTTAATCAGATGATTACACAGATGCTGATAAAATATCTAAATACATATTGATCCAATAGAGTATAACAGTAGGAATCATTCCAGTCTGTCAAGAAAACTATACTCATCAGAGGCACTAGTAAAGCAAGAATCATTCCATTTGGAGGTAAGAGTTTATATTTTGTAATTGGCTTCTTGGTTCCCACAACTATCTACTGCCTGAAAGGAAAATGAAAAGACAAATAATAAGATAAACTATAGTTAATAATCTTAAGAAAAGCTGGTCATTCAAACTTTAGTTAAAACACATCTTTGTTTTATAAATATAAATGTAAAAGTCATTAGGCACAAAACTAAAAATAACAAACAAACTAGATGATGCTAAATTGCAGAGAAGGTGCTCTGGTAGGAGATTTATCATCTGAGAGTTCTGTATCCTAATGAGAACACAGGTCTAATACTTATCCCTATCCTTTCCACCTAAATTCACTAATGTGATTAAGGCTACTTTTCTATAATTATATGAATATATAACATATATTATCAAATTATATATAATATTAATTGGTAAAGTTGAATTATTAGCTAATAAATATTCACAGGCAATATGTAAGAAATGATTATTTTTAAGATTTCTTCCTTTTTCCATGTATTTTATTTTTTCATAATAAAATTGATCTATCACAAAAAGAAATATTCCATATATTCATTTCAAATTATAAGGTACATTTTCACACTGTTTCTCAAGACAAAGGGGAAAACAATCCTCCAAATAAGAATAGTTAATTTAGCAACTGTAGTAACAAAGTAAATACAATCTAAAAGTGTATTCAAATGTATCTCTGTATTAGTAGGGAAATGAACTAAGACAAAATAATTTCTCAAAAGCAGTGCATAAGATGATATTTTAACTAAATTGTTTTGGG